AAAAAAGATTTTATTTTTAGAGGGGAAGGGAGGGGGAAAAAGAGAGGGAGAGAAACGTCGATGTGCGGTTGCCTCTTGTACATCCCCCACTGGGGATGTGGCTTGCAACCCAGGCGCGTGCCCTGATTGGGAATTGAATTGATGACCTTTGGGTTCACAGGTGGGCGCTCAGTCCACTGAGCCACGCCAGTCAGGGTGGTAGAGTGTACTCTTAATAAAATGTGATGAAAATGGCAGTTCATTTCTGGGTCTTCTTTCCATTCTAATCATGAGAGAAATATCAAACAAATCCCAACTGTAGCACATTTCCCAAAATATCTGACCAGGAGCCAAATCTGGAGAATTGTCGCAGCCCCAGAGCCTAAGCAAACATGGCTACTGAATGTATTGTGTCCTGGGTGGGATCCTGGGCCAGAAGAGGGATATGAAGGAAAAACCAAGGAAATCTGCAAGATGTTCATAATAGGGGGAACTGGGTGTGGGGTGTATGGGAATTTTTGGTATCCTTTTCCTAATTTTTCTATAAATCTAGAAACTATTCTTAAGAAAGCTTTTTTAGAAAAAAAAAAATCAAGTTCCAGGGCCCTACCTCCAATGATGCCAATTCCGAAAGTCTTTGGCGGGGTACAGGAATCTGTATTTTTTAATGTATTTTTTAAAAAGATTTTACTTATTTTTGTTTAGAGAAAGGGGGAAGGAGGGAGAAAGAGGAGAAACATCGATGTCTGAGATGATATATCAATTGGTTGCCTCTCACACGTCCCCAGTTGGGGACCTGGCACACAACCCAAGCATGTGCCCTGACTGGGAATCAAACCAGGGACCTTTTGGTTCACAGGCTGGTGCTCAGTCCACTGACCATTCAGGGTGGAATCTGTTTTTTTTTTAACAAACCTTCCCCCTCTTCCCTCCCATCCATATCATTAGAATGCAGATAATCCAGAGACCACTGGTTGTGAAAACTGTTAGGTGGGCGTGGGGGTGGGGATGAGGCTTGGCTGAGGGGGTAAGGCCCAAGAAACCTCCACCCAACTCAGTTCTTACGTTCAAAGACTTCTGGACCACCCACATGTGGGTGCCACTGTATTCTGACCACAGGTCAGGTCAGGGTGGGTCTGGAATACCACGAGCAGTTTCAGTTCTGTGATTAAGTGGCACTGTTATAAAAGTTCCGATTTGTTTTAAGCTGTATGGCAATAGATAACTAATAGCACCCAACTTTTTTTTTTCTTGGTTCACGGTTACGTATTTAATGTAGTTATTTTTCAAGTGTCTTTGACAAGGTCATCACTCTCGATTCTTTTTCTCTCCCCGCCACCCGCCCCCACTTCCCCCCGCCCCACCCCCCCACCTCCCACCCTCAATCCTACCTCCCTTTAGCTTCATCCGTGGATCCTTTATACGTGTTCCTTGATGACCCTTCCCCTTCTTTTCCCCCGTTGTTCCCCTCCCCCCTCCCTTCTGGTTACTATCAGCTTTTTATTTCAATGTTGCTTGTTCTATTTTGCTTGCTTGTTTGCTTTGCTGATTAGGTCCCACTTATAGGTGAGATCATATGGTATTTGTCTTTCACCATCTGGCTTATTTCACTTAGCATAATGCTCTCCAGTTCCATCCATGCTGTTGCGAAGGGTAGTAGCTCTTTCTTTCTGTTGCGTAGTATCCCGTTGTGTAAATGTACCATAGTTTTTTGATCCACTTGTTTACTGTTGGGCACTTAGGTTGCTTCCAGGACTTGGCTATTGTAAATTGTGCTGCTGTAACATCGGGGTGCATAGGTTCTTTTGAATTGGTGTTTTGGGATTCTTAGTGTATAATCCCAGTAGTGGAATTACTGGGTCAAAAGGCACTTCCATTTTCAGCTTTTTGAAGAAATTCCACCGAACTGTTTTCCACAGCGGCTGCACCAGGCTGCATGCCCACCAACAGTGCACTAGGGTTCCCTTTTCTCCACAATCTCACCAGCACTTGTTGTTTGTTGATTTGTTTATGATGGCCATTCTGACCCGTGTGAAGTGGTATCTCATTGTGGTTTTAATTTGCATTTCTCTGATGGCTAGTGATGCTGAACATTCTTTCATATGTCTCCTGTGTATGTCCTCTTTGAAGAAGTGTCTGTTCAGGTCCTTTGCCCATTTTTTAATTGGATTGTTTGTCTTCCTGGAGTGGAATCATGTGAGTTCTTTATATATTTTGGAGATCAAACCCTTGTCTGAGGTAGCATGGGCAACTATTTTTTCCCATACAGTTGGTTCCCTTTTCATTTTTTTGATGTTTTCCTTAGCCATGCAGAAGCTTCTTATTTTGATGAGGTCCCATTTGTTTCTTCTTTCCTTTATGTTCTTTGCTCTAGGGAACAGATCGGTGAAAATACTGCTGCATGGAATATGTGAGAGTTTCCTGCCTATGTTCTCCTGTAGGACTTTTATGGTGTCACAACTTACATTTAAGTCTTTTATCCATCTTGAGTTTATTTTTGTGTATGGTGTAAGTTGGTGGTCGAATTTCATTTTTTGCATGTAGCTCTCCAGCTCTCGCAATACCATTTGTTGAAGAGGCTATTTTTACTCCATTTTATGCTTCTGTCCCCTTTGTTGAATATTAAATTGACCATGGAGAAATGGGTTACTTCTGGGCTCTCTTTTCTGTTCCACTGATCTATGTGTCTGTTCTTACATCAGCACCAGACTCTTTTGATTACAGTGGCCGTGTAATATAGTTTGAGGTCAGGTATTGCGATCCCTCCTACTTTGTTCTTCTTTCTCAAAACTGCTGCACTACCCAGCCCTTTTAAGCCAGTCTTTCATTTCCGGAGACATGGAGCTTAACTTGTGATTTAGTGTGTAATCCAAACAGTAAGAGTATGGCCTGAATGCTCATTAAACAGTGGCTGCTAGCTCCTGTGGTGCACCGTGCCAAGTACTTAGTTTATATTTTCTCATTAACAGATACATGGGAGGTAGGCATTTTCCATCCCATCTTACAGAGAAAACTGAGACCCAACCAGGGAAAGTGCCTGCCCAAGGTCACAGAGGGGAGGAGCCAGGAGCCAGAAGGTTAGTTCTGGTTCACCCGAAGACGGAGCCCTTTCCCTTAAGCACAATGCCCCAACTGCTTTAAACTCCACTTCCACCTCCGCCCCTCCCCCACCTCGTCTCTAACATTTACTGAGCTCCAGTGTGGCCCCTTTGTGAAGCCTCCCGACACTATCCTCTACCTCACTCTCCCTGCCAGTCCCTCAGAAGACAGCACGCACTATTAAAGACAGTCACGCTCAATGCAGTCAGTCCTTGGAAGTGACTCCCCCCACATCTGAGTTCACGACGACACCTCAGCGGCTCAAGCCCGGACCTCCCACACTGGCCTTGATCTCTTCTTTCCCCAAGACATGTGACCATCAACAAGTCTGAGTCTGCCTCTCAGGAGCATCCCCGACCCCAGCTGCAGCCGCTGCCGTCTTACCTTAGGGCCTGCTACCCACCCTGGGCTTCCAGTCTTGCCTCCTATCACCTCCACGCAGCAGCCTGCGAGGTTTTTTTAAATACCCTCCACTGGTGCCCTACAGCAGTTTGCACTCTGCCAGGCCACAGCCTGGAATCCGAACATCAGGCTCCGCAGCGCCTCCCCTGGCCGCCCACCTAACGCCGACTGCGGCACCCTGGTCCCTCCCTAGGACTTGGCCGCCTGCTTTATTTTCTTCATGTCCCCTTGCGGTGGTCTGCCTACCCCGTGGTCATTTCTGGTTCCTCCTCCTCTTTTCCTGGCAAGCAGGGTTCCAACAGCAAACTTGAGGGAGCACACAGTTTTCCCCAGTCCCGGAGACCGGTGCTGAGCGTCCAGGGTAACTGCGGCCGTTTCCCTTGCCACTGATTCCCAGGGAGCAGTTTAGAAACACACATGGGCTGTGGTTCTGGCCGATGAGGCCCGAAGGCCGTGCTGCTGCAGACTGCCACGAGCTCTCCTCACTCTGGAAAAGGGGACACAAGGCAGGCAGGGACATGCTCCTCCCCTGCATGAGAAGGGCCGATTCTTGCCGCTGCCGCTGCAGCCAGAGGGCCGAGGCTGGTCACTCCCGATGGTGCTCGACTTCACGCGGAGCCGCTGGAACCACCACACGGCTTGACTGCCTAAAGCCTACTCTTTCGTTACTTGTAGCCAAAAGCACACCTACGAGCACTATCTGAAATCTCCTCTTTGCTTATTTCTGCTCCCTGCCTGCTCCTAAAGGGGAAGCTGCATGGGGAGAGGGACCTGGCCCCCCTGTGCTGCTGCGCCCCATCACGTGGACCGGGCCCTGCTCGGCAGGTGCGAGGCCGCGTGTTTGCCAAATGAACATGAGGCCCCTGGCCCCTCCAGGGCAGGGGCTCAGCGGGCTCATCTCTGTGGCCCCGCTGAGTGGCAGGGACTCAAAAGCCTCTGTTGGATCGAATGGTCAGGGAAGCCAGAAGGCAGCTGCTCAAGAACCCAATTTAATAAGATTTACACGTCGACACGTACAAAAAAAAAACTAACAATGTACAAGTCATTGCAAGACTAGGGACTGAATCCGGAATGCAGAGACCCCCAGGTGGGGACCCCAACGTGTGGCCATCTGAAGGTACTTTCCCACTGATTCTCTACATCTTGGCCTCACCTAACAATGGAACCGAACCCCAACACTGGGGCTCGGATCTGAGCTAGTGAGATCAAACCCGCCCGCCCCCGCCTCCCTGCTCTAGGAGTGGAATGGAAAGAAGAGCAGAGGCTGTTACCCTAAGGAGAGGGGGCCTCTGGCACCAGCGAACAGGGACTCCGCAGCTGCCCGATGGCTGCGTGCTTCTCCTGCCTACTTACGGCCAAACGCCCCCTGTGCCAGCAAGCTGGGCTGGCCAGGGGGACAGTGAGGAGGGGGGGAGGGCAGAGGGGTGCCCCACGTCTTGGAGAGGCCGAAGGGAGACAGGACGGGGTGGGACGTCCCCTCCCTGACAGTGGCCTCGCCCCCACTAGGCCTCTGCCCCGAATCACCACCGCAGGGGGCCGAGGTCGGCCCCTATCTCCTCCTCTTCCTCCTCCTCCTCCTTCAGCTGGAAGGGCTTCGCCGGCCACTTCACCCTGACAATGGGCTCCACGTGGTCCTGAAGCCGGTGCCGCTTCATGTGGGCATTTCGACTCTTAATCTTGTCAAATACCCTGCGGAGCCACCAGAGGACGCAGCAGTCAGAGCAGGGGCAGGCGGGGGTGGGGGGCCGCCCTGAGGGCGGCATGCGGTGCGCGCATTCAGGGCAGGGCTGGTACCTCTCACACTCTCTGCAGGGGAAAACGCTCTGGCCCTCGGCGCTCCCGGGCGCCTCAGGGGTCCGCTTGGGGCCCGTGTTGGGGCTGGAGTTGAGGATGGACTCCCTCCTGTAACTCTTGGTCTTTATCTTTAACTCAGGGGTCGGGCGGTGGCTGGGTCTCTCCCGAGGGCTGCCAGTGACCTGCAGAGGGAGCAGAAACCACGTGAGGGTGCTGGTCCCCGCCTTTATGAGGGAGGCCCAGGGATCCAGGGAGCAGACGTCCTCTGCAGGGACACCCTTCTCGCGGGCACCCTTCCGAACCCCCAGTTCGGCCGGGCACTGGGCGTCCAGATCAGCACGAGACTCCAGACCGCCACAACCCCCTACCTTTGCTTCTATCCTGTCCGCTTCATCCGGCTCTCTCTTGAGCCTCTTTTCCAGGCCTGGGGCTCGGCCGCAGTCAAACTTGATCATTTTTTTCCAGATGTAATAATACTCAACACACTGGGCTACGGTCTTTGTCTGGATCTAGTGAAAGTAAACAGCAACTGACTAGGGGCAGCCCCCATCCACCACAAGGGGCAGAGAATCACAGGGGCCGCCCAGGTGACGAGGAGCTTCAGAGTGAGGCCACCAGAGCCAAGGCGCTCTGAGCCTTGCACGCTCTCAGCAGTGGAGCCATCCAAGGACGCTTCCCTGTGGGAAGACACACACGAAGGGACACTCCAGGACGCTCACTGTGACATCATGCCTGCGGGCCACTTGCTGACCAACCAGGACTAATGAAAGCAAATGCCCTCATGCGGTGGCCGTCCCACAGCCCCAGCAGGAGCCAGGCGGAGCCCCACAGCACCGAGGGAAGAGGCCACGGTGGGGGGAGGGGAGGGGGAGGGGGAAGGGGAGGGGGAGGAAGGGGGAGGAGGAGGAGGGGGATGGGGTTTGGACAGCACGGTTTGATCCCAGGGTATTCAGGCCCCACCATTTGCTCCTCCCCCACTAAGAAGTGATCCCACTAACAAGAACTTCCGTAACAACCAAACATAATAGAATGGTTGCACTGCTCTAGAAAGAAAACTTCTCAGGAAAATTAAATTGGCCATTTCAGCACTTCAGAAGATACTTTCTCGTGCATTTTTTTCAGTTTTGTTTGCATGCACAAAGCAGGAGTCAAAACAGGACGTCCTCTGTCTCAGAAACACCCTACGTTAAAACAAGTTGGACTCAGTTGCCCAATAAGGTGTGACAGCAGGAACCAGATATACTTTCCCATCCAAAAACAATGACAAGAAACAGTCAAAGTATATCCAACGGTAGTTGCCAAGACACTAGGCACTGGTCAAAACACGTTTTTTGTGAGAAGGAACTGAAACACTGCAGTCCCAACTGTCTACCTTGAGAGCGTGTCCAGGCCGCGGCCCAGGGAGGGTCCGGGAAGGGGCCGGCGGACGTCCTGAGCTGAGGTGGAGCCGAGCGGCCGAGGAGACCCAGGTGGCGAGAGTCCACAGGGTGAAGGAAAGCAGAGAGAGCAGCACGGAGAGAAGCTCCAGGAGTCTTGAGAGAATCCCCTTGGCATTCAGCAAAGTGCTGGTGGCGGCGCGTGCACAGGAAGGGGCGACCCGAAGTGCGGCAAAGAACCACCCGGAGGACCGGAGGCGAAGGTGCCCGTCACTCACACAGCTGGGACTAGTGCCTTTTCCCGCTGGCCGGGGGGCGGGGGGGCCTCCCAAATCCTGGCAGCACTGATAGAGTAACGAGGTAGGTCTTGCCTCAGTAATGAAGAGTGATTAACTCTAGACAAAAAGCTGTTCTGGCCCCACCTAAAACATTCCGAAAGCAATACTCAAAAAGAACAAGTGGTTTTCAAGTACGTATGTCTCAGAACCAAGTTTGAGAATATTTCTAGGAATGCAAAAACATCCAGCACCCATCAGGCTAACGTTCACCATGTCTGGAATCCAGTGTAAAATTAGGGAGAAAATCAACCCATCAGAATCAACCCAGAATAAACACAGATGTTAGAATTAGCAGGGGAGGGCATTAAAAGTTAACGTAGCTGTAAAATACATGTTTAAAAAGTCAAGTAGAGACATGGTGGATATAAAAAAAGACCCCCAGAGACCCTCCAGAGATGAAAACAACAGTACATGGGAATAACGTCAGTTAGACACTGCAGAAGGTATGATTAGTGAACCTGAAGACCCCCCAAAAAATGGAAACCATTCAAAATGAAACAGAGAAAAAAGAATCAGCAAAAATGAAAAGAGGACCAGGGAGCCGTGGGTTGTGGGCCAATCGCAGGAGGCCTGACACGTGTGAGTGGGGTCTTCAGAGGGGAAGGGAGGGGCCCAAGAAAGAGCTGAAGAAATAATGGACGAAGTTTCCCCAAACTTGGTGAAAACTATAAACCCACAGGTCTAAGAAGCTCCACAAATCCCAAATGCGTGCGCACACACAAAAGTGAAGAAAACTACTCCAAGCCATATCATAAAAAAATTGCTGAAAACCAGTGATAATGAAAAATTTCTAAAAACAGCCAGCCAGAGGAAAAAAAAGACATGTTATATACATACAGAGAACAAAGAAAATAAATACATTGACTGTTGGAAATAAAAGCAGAAAGAAAATAAAGCAACATCTTTAAATTACTTAGAGAAAACAATTGTGAAGGTGGAATTCTATGCTTAGCAAAGATGTCAATCAGAAACAAAGGCAAAATACTCTTTAAGATATGCAAAGCTGAAAGAATTCATTATTGGCAAATCTGCACTACAAGAAATGTTAAATGATTTACATTGATTTGCTTCTGGAAAATGCTGCCCGAGGGATATGTAGACCTACACAAAAGAATGCAGAGCAATGAAAATGAGAACTACATAGTAAATGTATAAGGTTTATTGCCCTGGCCTAGAGGAGCTCAGCTGGTTAGAGTGTTAGCCCAATACAGCAAGGTTGCAGGTTCAATCCCTGGTCAGGTACATATAAGAATCAACCAGTGAATGCATAAAAAAGTAGAACAATAAACTGATGTTTTTCTCTCTCTCTAAAATAAAATCAATAAACCAATAAACAAACAAACAAAAAACGTATCACAGTCTACTTTCAAGTGATTTGGTAGCACTTCAAATGTAGAATGAAAACCTTATTGTAACATATTTCCATTTCTCCTCCTGGCCTTTACACTGTTGTGGTTATTGGTTTTTTATTTTACATGTTATAAACCCCACAATACAGTACTATTACCTTTGTTTAAACAGTCATTTGTTTTTTAGATTTAAATAATAAGTCTTTTTAATTGATTCTTTGAGAGAGAGAGAGAACCATCAAGTTGTTGTCTCAACTGAGTTACCCAGCTGGGGCTGGCCTGGGGTAAGTTAGTAAGGCACTGTATAAACTCTAAAAAACACAGAAGTGATAAAATATAGAGTTACAGCCAATAAGTCAACAAAGGATACAAAACAGAGTTCTAATATTTACTATATTAAACTGAAAAAAAGGCAGAAAAGGTGGAAAGGGGAAATAAAGGACAATTAGAGAACAAATAACAAGATGATATACTTAAACCAAACCATCTCAATAATCATATTACATGTAAATAATATAAATACTCCAATTAAAAGGCTGAATATTCTTTGTAATAAAAAGCAACACCTCACACACTACCTACAAAAATGCACTTTGAACATAAAGACACAAATAGGTTAAAATTAGGAGGATGAAAAAGATAAACCATGCTAACACAAATCATAAGAAAGCCGGAGTGGCTGGCTATATTAGTATCAGAAGAACTAGACTGAGCAAAGAGTAATACCAGGGATAAAGAAAATCATTTCATAAAATAAAAAATAATAAAAATGAAAATCATTTCATTATGATCAAAGGGTAAATTAATCAAGAGGAAGTAAGAATCCTAAATGTTTATGCATCTAAGTCAGAGCTTCAAAATACAGGAAGCAAAAAATGACAGAACTGCAAGGAAAAACAGACATCCACAATCACAGTCAAATATTTTACTATCCCCTTCTGAATAACCGCTGGAACAAGTAGGCAGTGAATGTATGGACGACCTGAACCATAATATTAGCCACCTTGAACTGACATTTATAGAACTCCACCCAACAAAAGCAAATCCTAAGTGCGCTCTGAACATTTACCAAGATGTAAACCATAGCCCTGGCTGGCATGGCCCAGTGGATTGAGTGCTGGCCTGCAAACTGAAAAGTTACCAGTTCAATTCCCAGTCAAGGCACATGCCTAGGTTATGGGCCAGGTCCCCAGTCGGGGTCAGTGAGAGGCAACTGACTGATGTATCTCTCACACATCGATGTATTTCTCCCTTTCTTTCTACATCCCTTCCCCTCTCTCTAAAAATAAATAAAGAAAATTAAAGGAAAAAGAACTCTGGAAAATCTTCTAATATTTGGAAACTAAATCACAAGCTTCTACATAACTCACAGGTCAAAAAAGAAATCAAAAGGGAAATTAAAAAATATTTTGACCTTCTGAATAAAAATGAAAACCCAACATAAAAAATGTATAAAAGTAGTACTCGGAAGGAAATTTACAGCACTAAACACCTGTATTAGGGAAGAAGGAGGGTCTGAAGTCAGTGACTGCAGCTTCCACCTTAAGAAACAGGAAAAGAACAAATTAAACCCAAAGCAAGCAGAAGAAAGGAAATAATAACAGAGCAGAAATCAATTAACTAGAAAACAATCAGCAAAATCTAAAGCAAGTTTTCTGAGAAAATAAAAAAATTGATAAACTTTTAGCAAGAATGATCAAAATAAAAAGATAAATTATCAGTATCATAAGTGAGAGGTGGTATTACTATCATCTGTAGATACACAAAGGGTAATATGAGATTATCAACTTATACCATGATTGATATCAGACAACTCAGAAGAAATTACAAATTCCTTAAAAGACAATAACTACCCAAGTTCACACAAGAAGACACTGAACCGGAACAGCCCCATATCCATTAAATGAATTGAATTTGTTGTTAAAAACCTTCCCACAGAGAAAACTTCAGGCTTAGGTGGCTCCACTACCAAATATTTAAGAAGAAATAAAACCAATTCTAAATAAAGTGTTCCAAAAAACTGAAGAGAAGAAAATGCTTCCCAACATTGTATACAAGGTCAGCATTACCCCAACACCAAAGCCAAAGACACCGTAGGAAAGAAAGCTACAGACCCGTATCCTCCATGAACATGGACGAAATGTTCTAAACAAAAATTTAACAAATAGAATCCAATACTCTGTGACCAAACAGGTCATGAATATAAATGGGAAACCTGAAATTATAAAACTTCTAGAAGAAAATATAGGGGGAAATCTTTGTGACTTTGGGTGAGTCAAAGATTTCTTAGATGCAACACCAAAAGCATGGTCCATAAAAGAAAAAGGAATACGTTGCAATGAGACACCACTGCATACTCTCTGAATGGGTAAAATTAGAAGGACTGACTATGCTGAGTGTTGGCGAGGGTGTGAAACAGCTGGACCTCTCGAACCCCGGTAGGGGGAACAGGAAATGGCACAGCTGCTTTGGAGAACAGTTTCACAGTTTCTTGAAACATTAAATGAATGCCTACCACACAATCCATTCATTCCCCTGCTATGTATTTACACCCCCCACCAAAAACAAAAACAAACAAACAGACACAAAGCCAGTGTGCACCCACACAAAGACTTGTGCGTCCTGTGCCCAGCGCCTTCATTTATAATCGCTGCTGACTGCGCCGCGCGGACGTCCGCTGGCAGGGGAAGAAGACAAGGAGCAGCGAGGGACCAAAGGGGCAGGAGGAAATTTGGGGGACAATGGATGCGACCCATGGAGATGGTTTTACAGGGACATAAACACGTCAAAACATCAAATCTTACACTTTGATTAAATGCAGTTTGTGTCCATTAAGCTAAAAAGAGGTGAAAAATCAGCAGGATATTAGGTGTAGTCTGATACCACCGTTAGAGCACAGGCACGTACGAGTGTAAGATCCGTACAGGCAGAGGAGTGCCTCGCGTATACAAGCACACAGAGGTCATCAATCAGAAGCAGGGCTGTTTGGAGCTGTTCACAACAACGGCTTCTTACAGTTATAAACTTAAAAAAGGGCTTCTGTCGTGAGTGGCACAAGTAGGGCAGCTTGGTCGCTCTACGTGTGGAATCGACATCAAGAGATTCCGAAAGCATAATTTTCTGGTATCTGGGCAGCTGGTGATCGTTGATCCTGGCGCTTGCCAATAAATAAGTAAGTAAGTAAATAAATAAATAAAAATCAGTCTGTTCACAACATGAGCAGTGTGTCGCCTGCAACAGGCCCGTCCGCTGGAGCTGGGCTCGGCCATGTGAGGCGAGGCCCGTCTGCCCCGGCGCCCGGCTTGCCTTACCGTCTTGTGTATGAGGTAGAAGTCCTTCTTGTGGGCACAGAACGCCTTCTTAAAGAGCCGCTTCTCCACCGGGGTCCAGATGTCTGAGCCTGTGGGGAAACAGTCAAGAGGGGAAGACATTCCTCCCGCGGGAGCTCAGCCGTGACGGTGCGCAGACCACCCTCCCTTTTGAAGCACCAGCACTGAGCGCCACGAGTGTGCCAAGCATCCTGCTAACTCTCACATCTGCCTGATCTCATTCGATCCTCACAAAAACCTCCGCGGGTGGGGACCATTACTAACCCCACTCTACCGACGCAGCACCAGAGGCTTCCGTTGGCTAAGAGACCTGCCAAGGGTGAAGGGGGCGGGCGGCAGGCTGGGGCTGGTGCGCTCCATCGCCGAGCCCAGCCCGCCCGCACCCCGCAGCGCCCCCTCCTGGCTGGGCAGAGCCCATGAGGGAAGCACCGGGAAAGGGGAAGGTAGGACCCAACTAGGAGAATTTAGTGCCCACTGAGTTGCTCTGGAGATGACAGCCTTTGTGGAAAGGCAGGCAAAGCCCGCAAGAGGCACAAGCAGAGCTTGCCATCAAAGCTGACCGGTCCACGGGGCTCTCAGCCAGGCAAAAACCACGCGGGCACCTTGCTCCAGTCACCTGTGTAGCGATAGTTGGTGAGTGGGTGTGCCTGCAGCTTCTGGGGTCCTCGGAGTAAGAGTGTCTCCAGGGCAACCTGCAACGAGGGGGGTGGCGGGACACTCACGGAGGGAGTGAAGCGGGGGGTCCGCTTCCGCGGTCTCATTCATTCCAGAGCCACGGACAGGCCTCCCCGTCCCGGGGCTGCTCAAAGTGTGGCCGCTCCAGGGACCGGTCACGGCCTGGGAGCCGGCTGCGGGCACATCGCCACATCACTAGGCACACTGCTAGGGACAGCTGGCACTGTTTTGTCGTAGCAAGATTTTCTTCATGAAGGAAACAGTGCCAGATTCATCCTGTCACTAGCTCCTTGCTTCCTCCCGGCCCAGCCTTTGCGCGGCGCTGCCCTCGCCCGCTGCCTCCCCATCTTCCTCGCAGAGCTCATCATCGTCTAACAACTTCACAAACGCATTTCCTGTTTGCACTCTCCTAAAAGGTACGCCCACAAGGAGAGGGATTTTGTCCTGCTCACCAGCATGGCCCCGGTCAGGACTGGCTGTGCCATCTGCAGGGTCCAGCGCAAAATGAAAACATGGAGCCCTTTTGTTCAAAAATTAAGTGTTTCAAGATGGCGGCACCAGAGCCTTAAACCAGGCACGGCCGAGCCTGCCCTGCCCCGGTGCCACGTTGTCGGCAGCTCAGAGGGACCCAAGGACTACGGGACACTCTGCCGAGCGTCTCCTGCGTGGCTGCCACTGCCTCCCAGCCTGAGAAAAAGCAGAACTGTGGCCTCTTGGTCCCTAACTCGGTAACTTGACTTTTCCTCTCCCGCTCCTCTGAGTGGTGCTTTTAATTTATTCCCTAAGCCTCAGGATTGTGAGGAGGGCCCCGGGGGGAGGCAGAGGCATTTTTGTTGCACCAGAGGTTTTCATATGTTGGTTTTTGATCAAAAAGCTAAAGTTCAATAAATAAACCTGATCAATGCAGCACCTGAGCTGATCTATTAGGCATCACCTCCCTACCCCCCACCATGGCCTCTGAGATCTCAGACAGACCTGGGGCCCTGCTGTTGCCCCAAATAAAGAACTGCTTAACTGAGCCCGGGTCTGCTCACTGCCCTCTGGTGTTCAAGGGCCACACGGGTCCCAGAGCCACAGCAGGAAGGATGGGTGGCCTTCCTTCAGTGTTCATCGCTGCAACCCCTCCCTGCCCCGCAGGCTGAGGCGCAGGGCAGGCACCCGGAGCCCAGCGCCAGAGAGCGGGGAGAGGCCCGCGGCCCAGAGCCCGCCTGCTCCCTCACCTGAACGTTGCCCTGGGCCTCGTGCAGGCAGTGCAGAGCCAACTCCAGGTTGGTGCCCCCTCCCGGCATCACGCTGGAGCAGGCCACGTTGCAGAGCTCGGTCACTGTGTCCAAGGGTGGCCCCAAGGGTGCAAGGGAGAGGAGACACAGGGCGTCAGCCGGGCCGGGGAGGAGGTGCCCCGACAGTGCGGCGCAGGCGCTCCTTGTCGCCGTCCGCCTCACACTTCAGTGAAAAGTGGGCAGAAACCCGGCTCCCAGCACTGGCTTTGGATGGCCCGGCCCACTACCATGTCAGAAGAGAGGTGGGGACAGGGGACAGCGGCACGGTAGAGGCAGCACTGGACTGAGGGCTGGTCCCTCCCCACTCCCAGGGTCCACTGCCTCTTGGTCCAGTGGAGCAGTGGGAGGGGGAACTCCCTGGGGATGGGGGTGGGTTGGGGAGTTTGGCCCTAAAGGCTCAGCCACCTCTATCCTGCGTTTCCAGGTTGGTCATCACATCTCCCCACGGCTTCCAGACCAGGGAAGCGAAATGCTCATCAGTTCCCGCCAGCGACCTGTCCTGGAGCTCTGGGATCTCTGCCTGAAACCGGCTTCCTAAGTTGATGTGTCTGAAATGAGGTCACATACACAGACATGCGAGATAACATGTGACTGAGACGCATGGTGCGCCCCGCTCCATGGACACCCTGCACCATCTCAGACGTGCTGCATGTTGGCCGCCCCTGACGGACACGTGCAGGCATTCCAGAAACTTCTCCAGGGAGACATCCTGCTTTCCTCCAATTTCTTTTACTGCCAGATTTCCGGCCTCAGGTGCCTCTCTTGAGGTCCAGGACAGGGGAGGGACGTGCTGACAGCCGGCACACTTCCCCATGCTCGTCACACCGTCTGACCACATCCGTGGGGGGCCAAGGGCCCTGCACTGTGCTGTCACCCGTTCTGCCCAGAACCCCAGGGTCTGGGGCATTCTTTCCCGCGGGCCCCACTACGGTATGTCCGGACAGGGGAACGCTGGGGGAGCTTTTCACCCGCCACCTCTCTCCTGGGGAGGCTCTGTAGCTACACCCAACCCCCCTGATGGAGGAGTCCTTGGGAACAACCAACGCTGGGGTGCAAGGGGGGTAAGAGCAGCCCCGCTTTGGAAGGACCATCAGGTCCCGAGTCTATTCCAACTCACGGTTCAATGTTGATCTTGGTGTCGTCCTTCACCACACAGATGCCAAATGAGCCACCCTCTTGCTCTAGAACACACACAATGAAGAGCCTCAGGAAGACCGACTGGAAGTGATCCGTGCGGCCTCTTCTCCCTGCCTTCCCAGAGCAGCTGAGAGCAGGCTCTTGAAACCTGCATGGTATAAAATTTCCTCAAAAAATTACAGAGGGAGCCACCATATGACCTCGTAATCTCACATCCGGGTATTGGCCCAAAAGAGCTGAAATCAGGATCCCAGGAGATACCTGCGCTCCTCTGCTCACTGCGACATTATGCACAACCGCCAAGAGGTGAAAGTGACCTAAATAACTGTTGCCGGGCCAGTGGGCGAAGAAAATGTGGCAAATACATACAGTGGAACACCGCTGAGCCTTGAAAAAGGAAATTCTGCAATATGCGACGATGTAGACGAGTCCTGATTACGCTACGTGACTAAGCCAGTCACAGAAAGATAAATACTGTACGGTTCCACTTACGTGAAGTATCTAAACCAGTCAAATCCATATAATCAGAGAGGGGGATGGTGGTTCCCAGGGGCTGACGGCATCGGAAATGGGCAGTTACTAACCAACGGGCATCCAAGTTCCAAGTGAGCAAGACGAGAGCGCCCTAGAGCGACGCTGCACAACAGCGTGCCCGCAGTCACACTATTGTGTCGCACCTTACACATGTGTTGAAGGGTAGATCTCATGTGAACTGTTGTTATCACAATAAAATAAATTTTTAAAAAAGACTGCATGCAAGGTGGATAGGACTTCTGAAAACGTACAGTAAGGAACTCAGTAAAACAACAAGTTAACTGATAAAAATTATATTTAAAAAAACAGTAGGTTAAAGTCTCTGGAAGTTGTCCTAAAGGCATCCAGCATTTTAAGAAACACAGTCAAGAAAATGGAGCAAATCGTAGTGGGAACAGCAGGAGTCGCTGACTTCTGAACCCTGACCCCTCCCCTTCCCCACTGGGCCCCGGGGCCGGTCCAGACTCTGCCCAGGGCACGGTACTCCCAGCAGCTCAGCGCAGCCAAGGAGATGGGTGTCCCCCCTCCCCCCAGCTCCTGTGCTTAGAGACTTAAAGGATGGTAGGATGGTAATTTCTCATCAAAAAGAGAATACCATTAAGAGATAGAAAATTTTTTTTAAAAAAGAGAATCAAATGGAAATACTGTGCTTAAAAAGGTCTAACAACCAAAATAAGGCTCAACTGTCGACTTAAACTGGCAGAAGAAATGATCAGCAAACTAACTTGCTAAAAGATCAATGGAGATATGGAATCTAAAAAAGAGAAAAAAGAATAAAGAAAAATGAGGAGAGCCTCAGAGAAATCTGGGACACCATTAAACACAGCAACATACTTGTAACGGGAGTCCCAGAAGAAGAGGAGAAAGGGGCACAAAAATATTACAGAATTAATGGCTGAAGAATTCTGAAATTTGATGAAAAAACAAGATATACATTTAAGAAAATCTATAAAATCAAAGTAAGATAAACATCCAGACACATCACGGCCAAAATGCTGAAAATAAAAGATAAAGATCTTGAGAAAAACAATTTGTTGCATACAAGGGCACCCAGTCCGATTAAGAGCCGACAGAAACCACAGCAGGCAGAAGGCAGTGGGGCAATGCATTCATATTGCTGAAAGTAAAAAAAAAAAAAAAAAAAAAAAAATTGTCAACCAAGAATCTCGTATGCAGCAAATCACTTTTCAAAATGAATGTGAAATAAAGACATTCTCACATAAATAAAAATTGAGAAAATCCGTTGTTAGCAGTCTGGTATTACAAGAAATGTTAAAGGCAGAATATCATCCAGCCCTGTCTGAGGCTCCATCGACCTGGCTCACAGGGGGGCCACCCTGGAGGTCCCGAGGCTCTGCCCCGCCCGCCTTCAGGTCCACCCACGCAGTTGACTGTGCCTTCTCCATACGATCTTGGTTCATGCTTCACAACTTCCTAAGTTCTCTCAAACAAGCAACAGCTGGCCTCCCCAAGCCCCCAGCCCCTGTACCTCTTCTAAGTGGTCCCAGGCTGGCACTAGCAGCAGCCATCTCAGGTTGCTTTATAGCTCATGCAGGTTGGCCCCAGACAGAACACAGGCCAGGGGCTGACCTTGGCCTGCAGCACCCGGGAAACCCCAGGGCCAGCGCACCCAGAGTGGGCAGCCACAGACCATGTTGGAGGACCACCACCCTGCCCCTGCACAGCTGATCCTCCACAGAGGTGGATGTTGGTGGTCAGTGGTCACAGCCAATGTTTGCAACTGACTGGCCTGGGTTAAATCCCTCCCACTGGTCTGCCAACAGCAATTAAGACTCAACAAGAGGAGGATGTACTCAGCCCACATGAAGGGCGCACCCTGGGCACCCAGGCTGCATGACAGGGGAGGCTGTGCCACTGGACCCTCCAGGACACCTGCTACATTAGGCCATGACACCAAGGCAGGGGGTCACAGCAGCTCTACCTGATACATAGAAACAAACGCAGGGAGGCTGCCAAGATGAGGAGACAAAGAAACATGGCCCAAATGAAAGGACAGATCAAAACTCCAGAAAAAGAACTAAACAAAATGGAATAAGGAATCTATCCGATGCAGAGTTCAAAACACTGGTTATAAGGATGCTCAAGGAACTTAGTCAGGACCTCAACAAAATAAAAAAGAGCCAGTCAGAAACAATGGAAAGAATAATTATAATAAAGAACAATTTACAAGGAAACAATAGTAGAGTGGATGAAGCAGAGAATCAAATCAATGATTTGGAACTTAAAGAAGCAAAAAAAAAAAAAAACAACCCATCAAAACAACAAGAAGAAAGAAGAATCCAAAAAAACAAAGACAGTGTAAGGAGCTTCTGGGGCAACTGCCAGTGTCCCAGCATTCACATCCCAGGGCACCGGCAGGAGAGGAGGAAGAGCAAGGGATTGGAATCTAGCTGAAAAAATAATGAAAGCAAATCGCCTGGTGTGGACGGCCCGAGGGAGTGGGGGGCGCTGGGTGGGGGGGCCAAAGCGGGGAGACTGGGACAACTGTAGTAGCGTAATCAATAACATACAATTTTAAAAATTTAGGATTCAATTCATACAAAATATGTTCTCTGACCACAACAGCATTTCATTAGAAACCAATAAAAGGCAATTTGTAAAATTTGTAGGAATTAAACATCACATTCCTTAATAATAATCAATGTATCAAAGAAAAAAATCAAAAGAGAAATTAGAAAATATTTTGAGATGAATGAAAATAAGAACACAGCATAAACATAAAATATAGCTAAAGCAATGCTCAGAAATCTGAAAATGTAAATGAATTTAAAAAGAAAGACAAATCTCGAATCACTGATGGTTAATTCAGAGTCAACAAGGGTGCAACACAAGTCAATGAGGAAAAAAAGGTCTTTTCAACTAATGGTGATGGAACAATTGATACCCACGTACAAAAGAATAAATCTGCACCCCTTACCTCACACAGAATATAAAAGTTAGCTTAAAATGGATCAAAGACCTAAATGTAAGAGTTAAAATTATAAAAGTCTTAGGAAAAAAACATGGGAGTAAATCTTTGTGACCGTCGGTCAGACGAAACCTTAGACACAACACCAAAAGCACGGGTGATGAAAGGAAAAATAAACTGGACCCCATCGAAATTTAAAAAACTTTTGTACTGCAAACATGACCATAAATAATCAAAAAAGACAACCCACAAAATGGGATAGAATGTTTGTAGGAAAATCAGAATATATATGGAACTCTCACAAGTTAATAACTAAAAGATAATAACTCAATATTTTACATGCGCAAAGGACGGATAGACATTGCTTTTAAGACGACATAAAATGGACAGGAAGCTCATGGGAAGACGCCCAACCCCACTGGCCATCAGGGAAATGCAAATCAATCCCGTACAGAGATACCACTTTACACCTACTAATACGGTTTTAATAAAAAAGACAGACAGTAAGTACTGGCAAGGTTGAGGAGAAACAGGAACTTTCACACAACGCTGGTGCTGGTGCGACTTTAAAACGGCCAGTCATTTTGGAAAACAGCCGGCCTGTTCCTTAAATGGTTAAACACAGAGTTACCGGTCGGACCCAGCAACTCCACTCCTGGGTCCGTACCCAAGAGAGATGAAAACGTACACCCACACAAACACTTGTACATGAATGTTCACAGCAGCCTTATCTACAATAGCCCCAAACTGGACACGGCCTCAACGCTCACCGCCTGAGGAACGGATGGAGAGCGGGCCGAGGCAGACGGGCTGTGACTCCGCTGCAGAGAAGCGAAGAGAGGCCCCCCCACCCCGACCCCGCAGCAGGGACGGGCCTTGACGTCGCTGCACTGAGTGAGTGAACTACACACAAAATGCCAGGTTATGACTCCACTCATATAAAATGTCCAGAAGAGGCAAATCCGTAGGAAAAGTAGATCAGTAGTTTTCCAGGGCCGGGGAGACTGGGGCTACGGGGCCAAGGGGGGTGCGATCGTGCCTCTTCCGGGAGTGACAGAAATGCTCTAAAACTGACTACATGATGAATGCACAGCCCTGTAAAGATACTAAAAATCACTGTACATGTTAAGCGATGACTCATATGGTATGTAAAATGTATCTCAATAAAGGTGCTTAGAAAGTCGCACGGAAGGGTAGGCAGACGGGTGTCAGGCTAAATGGCCTCTATGATTTCTTCCTGGTGGTAGAACTCTAAGCACCTGGAAGGCTGCTGCTCACAGATGGTCCTGGGACACTGACAAACAGCCACGGGACCACAGCCATAGGAGGGAGAGAATCTCTGGACCAAACGCTACGAGGGAGGGTGCACGTGGTCCACAGGAGGCCGCCACGCGCTGACCGGGGCCCCCCAGCCCACCGCACTCACCGAGCAGGGTGCTGAGGAGCTTGTCGGGGCCGGCCTGAGCTGACGTGAAGCAGAGGGTGTTGAAATAGAGCCCGGACCCCTCCCGGATGGGGCTGAGCATTGGGGGCGGCGTGTAGGGGGGGCACTGGAACAACCCCTTCAGGAGGCGGTCCACCAGGAACACCGGAGACCGCAGGCAGCTCTGGTGACATCTTCCTGGGCCTGGCTCCCCAAACACGGCGCGGGGAGCGGGGATGAACAACGCCTGGGGCTGGGGGCGCTTCTTGCGCTTCCTGTGCTGGCCGCTCTCCCTGCTGTCTCTCTCTTCCATGTCTTTCTCTTGTCCCTGGAGAAGAAGGGAGTTCAGAGGTGTCACCTGAAGCCACCTGCCACACAGCTCAGCCTTCCAGACGGCATGAGAGCAGGGAAAGAGAACGGACCACGGAGAAAGGCGGACGTGTGACATGCACACATCCCGCGTGTGCGTGCCCAGCGCCCCGGGCCAGGGAGGCTGAGCAGGGCGCCCCCACCCCTGAGCTGGGCCCCAGACCCGGTGCCGCTGATACCCAAGCCTGGAGCCTGCCTGTGCGCCCACACTCCAAGCGGAGGCCCTGGCTCAGGGCTTGGGAAACATGCGAGGCCCGTTTCAGTTGTTAACATGACTGGCATTTAAATAGGAGGGCCAGAAACAGTGTAACAAGGTGACCAAATGAAAATTTGTTCCCCTCCAAGTGACAACAGCTCCTGTGAGACAAGCAATGGGAGCCACGCCCCCTGTCCCCACGTCCAGCTTGCACTGTCCCGGGCAGCATCCTCTAGCACAGGCTGAACGTACCATGCTCTCTCTCGCCTCCATGTAATCTCCCTTCCTTTCTGCCAGTCTGATTCCTTCTCGTCCTCCAGGTCTCGGCTCCAGCACCTCCACCTCCAGGAAGTCCTCCCTGACCTCCTCAGGTTGGGACTCTGTCACTCCCCTCAAGGCTCCCCAGCTCCCTCTGCTGCCTCGCCACCCCCAGCCTTGCCCATTCTGGGTCCTCACTGCCTGGGGGACAGGTCTATCTACTACGCTGACCTGGGAGCCCCAGGAGGCAGGGCAGAGGGTGTCATGGTCACCGTGGTGTCCCCAGCACTGCCAGCTCAGCGTCAGCTACAGAGGAAGCTCAGCAGGTGCTGAATGAACGAATGAACTGCACTGCAAACCTAGCTCTTCTGGAGTCAGGGCTTTTTGCGGTGCTTGCCTGGCTTTTTCCACAGCGCCCACCAGCAGGCAGGGAAGGCCGTGGGCTGGCTGGCACCCACCTTGGCCGTGCTCCCCGGGGCTCGGTGTGCTGGAGCCACAGGCACCGCCATGGGCATCTCTGAAGGGGCCACGCTGTCCAAGGACATCTTGGCTCCTGGGGGACTCTGCCCATCCCCCTCCAGCCTCAGCGCCTGCCTGGTTGGCTTGCAAAACTCTGTACCAAACACCTGTACGCAGAGAAGAAACAGCTCTTGAGGAGAAACAGTAGGCAGGGAGCGGACGGCTGCGCCGGCCTCAGGTGCCATCTCCTGGCCCCGCCACGGGCTCCCTCAGCCCCCCAGGACGGAAGACGCCTCCATCCTGAGATAAGTGACACCCAGTGCCTGTCAGAGGCCCTGAAAGCCTAGAGCCTCCTGCGTGTGCCCCTTCACCTGCTGCTCCTGTTTCCCTCGAGGCGACGGCCACTGGTCGCTGTGAAAGCACATGTGGCTGCTCAGCCCCTTTTCAGTGTAGAACATCTGGCTGCAGTTCTTGCAGACGTAAGTGCCCCGGGGCTCCGCGCCGGCACCGTCTGCAGGGCCCCCTTCCTGCTGGTTGCTGCGGAAGACATGGCGGGGTGGGGGCATGCGAGTGGGCCTCTGCCCCTGATCACTGCCTCTTTCGTTTTTTTCTTTTCTAGGTCTGACCCACTGGCAGCTCTGGATGAACCCTAAGAAATGGAGATGACACCCCAATTCTTCAGGGTCTGGTGCATACCTCCTCAAGACTGACGCATCCAGAGCTCCCTTTCCCAGGACCAGCACCCAGATGCCACCAGAGGACCCTTGGGGGGTGGCGCTCCCCGAGCCAGGGTGGGGGGAGGGGCTTCTGAACCTACCATCCGCTTGCCATGTTCTCCTCCTTCATCAGATGAGGGAGCCGGTAGATATTTCCACCCTGAAGATAAAAAGACACCTGAGCCCATGTCGCAGAAATGAGGCCTGCACGACCTCAAACTCTAAGACTCCTGGAAGAAAGATGTAATTCTTTGTGACCTGGGATTAGGCAATGGTTTCTGGGATGCCACCAAAACAAAAGAGAGGACAAAGTGGACTTCATTGAAACTTAAAACGTCTGTGCTTCAAAAAAACACCATCAAAAAAGTGAAAACACAACCCACAGAATGGGAGACAACTGTTGAAAGTCATAGACACCTGATAGGGACTTGCAGTTATAATACATAAAAAGCCCTTACTGTTCAATAATAAAAAGCCAAATAACCTAGTTTAAAAATGGGCAAAGATTCTGAATAAACACCAAACCAAAAAGTATACACAAATGGCCAACAAGCACAGGAAGAGATGTTCAGCATCGTGAGCCATCAGAGCAACGCAAAGCAGACCACAGCGAGTGGCCGCGGCGCGCCCACGAGGGCGGCCGCCACGAGAGCCCAACAGCGAGAGCTGGGGCGGCGCGGAGAAGCCGGAGCCCTCAAACGCTGTGCGTGGGACAGGCAAATGACCCAGCTGCTTTGGAAAGCAGCCGGGCAGTTCCTCAAACGGTTAGACACAGAGTTGCCATCCGACCCAGCGGTTCTATACCTAACTATCTCTCAAGAGAAATGAAAACATACGTCCACACAAAAACCTGTACACAAATGTTCACAGCAGCACTATTCACAGTGGCCAGGAAGTGGAAACAACCCAAATGTCAACTGATGAGTGGCTGAACAAAATATGTACCTGTGCAAAGGACTGTCACTCAGCCATAAAAAGGCAGCACTGACACGTGCCACAGCGTGAATGAACTTTGGTAACAGTCAGGTCCACGGAGACTGAACGTAGAGTCATGGTGGCCAGGGGTGGGGAGGGAGGGAGGGATTGCGGGTGACAGCTAAGAGTGTGGGGTTTCTTTGGGGGGTAAAAAACGTTCTAGCAAAGAGCGGTAATGGACACACAGCCCTGCAATTACACTGAAACCACCGGTTACCTGGATTCTGTTGAATATCGTCAGCTTGGACTTCGGGTCCCGGGGGGGATCCGCCAGAGGCCCGGCCAACGAGAAGGAGGCCATGGCTACCTGGCTGGGGGAGGCCCCGCAGCACATGTCCAGCTTCACCTTCTCCTTCCGGAAGCCTGAGAAGCGCTGGGCCCTGGCGTTGCCGGAGAGGAGCCTGTAGCCTCCGCCCCGGGAGCAGGCCGAGCCCTTCTCGCCTTTCGTGGCCCCCGCTGCCGCTGCCGTGCCGTTCTCGGCCTGGGCCTGCTTCCCGGGGCCCAGGGCTCCCGGTGTCTCGTCCCCACCTGACTGGGTCTGCTGTGGGCCACCGGGGCAGAAGATGTCCCCCAGGTCCAAAGTCCCTTTTGCGGACCTCAAATGCTTGGCCAGAGAGGAGATGTCCCGATTCCCGGGAGGGTCCAGAGACGACACTGTGAGAGGCGGCGGAGCGGTGGCCACCTTTGGTCCTCCCTTCGAGTCCCGCTTCGTGCTGCCAGGAGAGGCCGCTCTGGGGAATGCCGGCGCGGTTCTCCTCCTCTGGGTTGGGGACCCCTCCGGCTCCAGGCTCCCGGGGCCAGTGTTGGGGGAGTCAGTGCTGGGGGCCAGCGGCAGGGGCTGCTGTGGCCACGGACCCGACTTCAGGGCGGCCTGCTTGCCCTCAGGCGCGGGGAGCTGGGAGGGCGCGGCGGCCACCTGGGCGTGGGAGAAGATCCGCTGGGACTTGGTGATCATCTGGAACACCTGCATCTGCTCATGGCTCACCAGAGGCTCCTGCGACTTGAGGAAGAGCTGCCGCAAGAGCGGGGCGGCGTCCGACGAGGGGGGCCCATCGGGCTTCTGGACATCCTGCAGGCTGGGCTCCCCAGGCGTTCGCCACAGGAAAGTGTCACAGTCGAACCTGCTCTCTCTGGAAGCCCAGGGGTCATCTTCCCCACTGGCACGTCTGGGGTCACCCGAGGCCTCCCCCAGCGCCTTCAGGAGCGAGGGAGGGAGGGGCGGCGTGTCCTCCAGACTGCGGCCGGCGGAGCCTGGCGAGGGCTCCCTGGTGGGGGAGGCAGTGCCGGGCCCCGGGCCAGACTCAGGGCCCTCTGGGGACTGCACAGCAGGGGCCTTGTGGACCACAAACACGTTGTTGCCTTTGTTCTTGGGGCAGCCCGGCAGGCTCCGGTTCCGCAGCCACGGGAAGTTGTGGCTGGGTGGCTGGGAACTGGAGGGGACCGCCTGGCCTCGAAACAGAGGCAGGCAGGCAGGCAGGGGGCCGCCCTCGGGCCAGCCCTCCAGGGTGGGCGGCAGCTGGAGCAGCCACTGCTCCGACTCAGGTGGGTCGGGGCCCCCATTCTCTGCCGCCCGTGAGTGCACGGCTGTGAACATGTCGGTGACAGGCTCCTTCTGTGGGGGGCGGGACTCCTCGGGAACCTCGGCGCCCAGGGCTCCTGAGGCTGCCGGAGCACCCATGGGGGTGCAGGAGGAGGGTCCCAGCGAGGGTGGGCAGGGACAGGCCGCGCTCCTCCCGTCGCTGCTGCCGCTGCCGCTGCCGTCCGAAGGCCCCGCGGGGGCCGGGCAGGGAGAAGGGATCTTCTGGTGGACGATGCTGCTGACAATACAGCGCAGGAGGTCTCGGTTGGGCAAGAGGGAGCCAGGGGACCTGGCTTCTGGGGGCATCAGGGGCCGCAGGCCGCTGGGTGCTGGTGGGCCGGCGGCCTCCTGGGGGTGCGGGGAGTCCCCGCAGGCCTCCTCCTCCGCAGGGGCTTCCTTCAGGATGCAGAGGCCGTGCTGGACCTCGTAGTGCCGGCGCAGGGAGCGGTAGTCGCAGTAGCTCTTGCTGCAGCCCTGCTCCATGCACACGAAGGGCTTGGTCTTCTGGTGGGTGAGCATGTGCCCGGTCCTGGAGTCACACACGGGAAGGAAGTCAGCGGCTGCCACCAGGGCCTTCCACTGAAGGGACCCCGAGGGTGCCCCTCAAGCCAGAACCCGCCCTCAGCCCTCGCTAGGGTGGAAGCAGTCTGGGGGGGGGGGTGCCCCTCTCCCTCACCTTTAAGGAAGTATTTTATCTGAGAAAATTAAAAAAATCAGTGGAAGCCAGGCCAGAGTTCCCCAAAGTGGGTTCCCAGGGAACGCCAGTCCTCCAGAGTTGCTCCCCCGGGGACTTGGGCTCAGCTGGCAAATGATTTTTGAAAAACCATTTTGTGCTGCTGGGAGGTTCACCGATCACAGAGGCAAATTTAAAAAGCCACACAATAACCAAGTCCTCATTATATGAAATGTTAAAGGGACTTATTTAAGAAAAAGATAAAAAACTATGAACAGTAAAAGGAAAACAAACTCACAACTATCAACAACTGAACCTAAAAAACAAACTGAGCAAACAACTAGAACGGGAACAGAATCAGAAATGGAGATCAGAGTGGGGGGAGGGGAAAGAAGGGGGGAAAAGGTGGAGAGAATCAGCAGCATAAATAGTAGGTACAAAATAGACAGGGGGAGGTTGAGAAGAGTTTCGGAAATGGAGAGGCCGAAGAGCTTTTATGTACGACCCATGGACATGAACTAAGGGGCGGGGGGTGGGGGGCTGGAGGGAAGGGCAGTGCAGGGTGGAGGGGGAGAAAGGGGAGGAAAAAATGGGACAACTGTAACAGCATAATCAATAAAATATATACTTTAAAAAAAAGAAATAAAGAACAAACCAACAGTGACCAGAGGGGAGGGTAGAGGGAAATAACATGGGAAAGAAGGGGAAGGGTCACGTCAAGGAACACGTAGGCAGGACCCACGGATAAAGACAACGGGGGGCGGGGGCCTGAAAGTGGGTGGGCAGGGCAGGGGAGCGCAATGGGGGAAATGGGGACAACTGTAATGGAACAACAATCTTTTTAAAAAGCCACACAATAGGTACTAGGCATCTGTTTAACTTTCGATGTCTCTCACACCCATGTGCCCGCAGAACCGCGTGTCCTGAGAGCCCCCTGAGCATCCGAGACCCGGAGTTCTGAGGGACGTGCTCACCGAGGCGGCCCCTCTGTTAACAAGGCAGGTTTGCCTGACCCTTAGGGTCCCCTAAGGGGCCAGCTAGCTCCCTGGAGCCCCCCAGCAAAGAGAAAAACATTTACAGATGCCCGATCCGAAAAACTTTCTAGAAAACAGCCAAATGTCACCATAATTTCCGCAAATGCAAATGCATACAAGTGTATCATGTTTACATCATACTTAAATCTACAATAATGGGTCATAAACACAAATAAGTGGGTAAATCACCCTCCGGGATCCCAACAGCCCTGCTGTGGACAGCTGTACTGTGGCACGCGGGGCGTGTCCAGGGAACATAAAACCCTTCCCCAGAGGCCGACCCACGGCTTCCCCCTGAGAAGCAGCCGGGAAAGGATCAGGAGACCCCATTTCCAGCCCCAGCTGTTGCCAACATGAGCCAATGACTTCCTTTCCTTCAGATCTGAGTGGGCAAGTGGATAAAGTAAAAGATGAATTAATTAATGCCCTCTGCAAAGGTTAGGAGCGCTATAAAAAGGCAAGGGACTGTACCTTCCGCTTGCAAGTCTCTTGGTTTGAGAAAAGTCTGTCTTTCCTTCCTCACTAGCAAGACAAGCTTATCGTTTCCAAGACATCAAGAACAAAGGGAGTTCTGCTCCTAACTCTTAGAATGAGCTCTCTTCTTAAAATCAAGAGTTAAAAAAATGTTAAAAGAGAAATACAAGAGTTACGGTTCGATCGCCTGTTCTAGAAACCGGCATTTCAGAAACTCTCCTGCCCCGTGCTATCCCAGCACACGATCCGCAGGGAACGCGTCCACGCTCCTCAGACGCACACCGAACCCGAACGAACAAACGTTTCCCCACAGTGAGCCCAACTCCCTCCATGTCAGAGCTGCCTCCAGAGCGAGCCGCTACGTGTGTTTACAGCCCCAGGGTCCCCGCTGCAAATCCCAGCAGCGATTTCCTCACTGGTGTGAATCTGGGGGCTCGGAACCTGTCCCAGAGCACTGGCAGCACGAGGCTAATGGGCCTGGACGGACCAAGCACAGGTGACATCCACCTGGGGAACAGGGCGGTGGGACAGCCCAGGAGCAGGCGGGACAAGATGATCTGGGAGGCATGGAAGAGACACAGGGTCACCCCTCTCTCACCCCTCCGTCCCTCCCCCGGCCCCCTGAAGAGCCATTTGGGGGACCGGACTTGTACATACAGGTGGTCCTGCCGCTTGAAGGCCTTGCTGCAGATCTTGCAGACGTGCTTCCTCTCCTGGCTGTGCGTCAGGTAGTGCTTGCTGAGCGAGCTGGCGCTGCTGAACACCTTCCCGCAGAGGCTGCAGTCCAGGAGCGGGTTCTGCGGGGAACTGTGCTGCCGCTTCCCCTTCCTCGCGCTCCCGGCCGGGGCCCTGCTTCCTTCCTCCGGCTCTTTAGGCACCTTAAGCGCGCCCAACCCCAGGTCTAAACAGAGGGAAAAGCACAGGTCACAGGCATCCAGGGGAATCAGACTAAAGCGCTCCGCAGCTCAGAACCCGGGCAGGCAGACCTGGCGAGATGGGGCCAAACTCCCCCACAGCAGCAGCTCTGCTTGCAGAGAAAACGGGCTTTAGGCCCAGGCCAGGGGCAGAAGGGACCCAGGGAAGGCCGCGCCTGCAGGATGACACCCAGTCTTGGTGCCACTCTCGGAGGGGACAGCAGAGGCCGGAAGCTCTCCTAGGACAAGGTGCCCAAGACGGCCACGGCTTTATGACCACTCCATCAATGGCACTCGCAGAAAGGCGATCCAGAAACACATACTCCAAAACCTCAGAGAGGTCTATTTCCTTCCTCCCGGCCCATCCTACTTCTTGGTTTTTAATCAAGGACGTAAGTGTAGATTTGTACAGTTAGCTGCCAGGGCGTGAACGGCAGCGCTGTTTTCCCGGTGAAATGTCAGAACCCCGGACGTCCGACACGAGGGCACGTGGGCCTCTGCATTGTGGTCTAAGTGGTGTGATGTGAGCATTTAAGATGAAGCTGTGGGAAAACATGTGACGACACGAAAGGACGTTCGTGCCACACCAAGTGAGAAAAAGGAAGCCTGCAGCCAAACAAAACTGCCCTGGTCTAAGAAAAAGATATTTACTCAGAAAACAAATGGAGATGATGGACTGACCGGTAGGATCATGGGTCACTATTTTCCTCTTCTTGTGCCTCTAAACTGTCCATGTTTCCCGCTTCCCTGGGGTAAACTGATGACTAAGGTGTTTTAGGCATCATGTCATCGGAGAAACCGGGGAGGGGACTGGGAATGTTCACGCGGAGGCGGGGGGGTGTCTTCAAATATCCGAAGGGCCAGCGTGTGGAGGAGGGAGCATTGCTTCTGTCTTGCTCCAAGGGACAGTGCTGGGTTTGGTGATGAAAGAGTAAAATAAACCTAATTTCAAGTCGGCAGAACTGTAAGGGTGGTGGACGCGGGCACTCTGCGGGCTCCCTGCGGTGTTGCAGCTCCTGGACTTCCCGTTCGGGGCCCCAGAGGCCCTGGTCAATCACGAAGATCTTTTTCTGCCCCTTAGACTGGTCTTCGAGATGCATTAGGTTGCCTCATGAAATGGCAAGCTGAGAAATCACCATTCAGTTAGGATGCTGCACAGGCAGGATCCATGAATCCAAAAGGCTGGAGAACGCGGTGGGGTGGGGGGTGGGAAGCACTAAAGGACCCCGAATGCCGAGTCTCTGTGGCTGCGATGCAGCAGGAGAGCCCCAGCAGAGCGGAGCCAGGCTTCTGTCCCAACTCTGCCTCTGCACGTGGGCCATCTGTCACTTACCTGCCTGGTCTACGTCTTCTTCACATGAGAATTACGGTGATGAGTGGTCAAATGATCCCAACTGTTTAAATGAGGAAAAACAGGCCTCCCTCGGGGGAAAGTCCTGGCCTTGCTAGGTTACTTTAAAAATGCCTATTAAAGCAACTATTAAACTAGAAAACTAGATGTTGTTCTGAAACATTAGCAAGGACATTGAAAAGCACGCAACCACAGTCGCTGGCGCGGGAAGGGTCTTGATCTCCGCAGAGAGCAGCGGCACCAGACCTCTGCCGCTGCATGTTCTCTCACGGGCAAACCGACTTAGAAGAGCATGTTCAAAGAGCTCCAAAGAAAATTCGACATGTAAGTTGTTCACAAAAACTCTACAGCAGTCTAACGAGCAAGAATATGGTCAAACTATACAATGGAAAAACTGCTACAATGACCACTGAGTAGTTACTTTCACTTAAGAAAGCAAATACATTAAATTTCACAAATAGAATTATACACTTAATACACATCTGCAAAGCCATGTTTTTCTGAGTGACTTCACCCATGTTTAAAATGCATGTGTGGAGGCCAGGGTAGGGGTTTTTCTTGTTGTTACATTTCTTTATTTTCTAAGTTTTCTTTAATAAATATGTATTACTTTTCTAATTTAAAAATTAATGTAAGTATATGCATTTATATGAACCTAAATTTAAGTTAGAGAAGTGTAAATAGTAAAAATTATTTTATTTATTTTTAATCCTCACCTGAGCATATGTCTTTTAATTTTTTAGAGAGGAAGAGGGAGAGAGAGAGAAACATTGATATGAAAGAGAAAAATCAATCAGCTGCCTCCTGTACATGCCCCCACTGGGGATCAAAACCCACAAACTTAGGCATGTGCCCTGACCAGGAATCAAACCTGTGACCTTTTGATGTACGGGATGATGCTCCAATCAACTGAGCCACTCAGCCAGGGCCTCAAGAGTAAAAATATAATGTTCAATGGATTCCTTCTTTTTAAAAAATAAGATTAAAAACAATCAGGTCGTTCTGACCAGGTATCTCAGTTAGAGCATTGTCCTGATACACCAAGGTTGCAAGTTCGATCCCCAGTCAGGGCACATACAAGCAGAAACCAATGAATGCATCAATAAGTGGAGCAACAAATGGATGTTTCTCTCTCCCCCAACTTCCTTTCTCTCTCTAAAATTGATAAATGTAAAACTAAAAACAAATTAGGAAAAGCTAAATTAGACTCATGATTTATAACATCGCGGGAGGGTCCATAGACCACTGTGAAAATCTGGTGAAAGCTAGTTCTTCTGTCCAGCAAAATGTACCCACATTGGTGCGTCCCAGCGTTTTCCAGGTAACTTCTGTGCCCCAGGTTGAGAACCGCACTCACTGTATCCCCAGGCCCGGCCTGGCGCCCACAACACTGCGGGCGCCCCAGAAAGGCAGGGTCTCATGTTTAGCCATTGTTCCCGTGCGGTGACAAGACTGATGCCCTGTCCTGTGCATCTCGTGCAGAACCGGGGCCTCAGAAGTTTTTCATTTCAGCAAGTGCTTGGGACACATTTTGAGCTGCTTATTCCAATTAACAGTAACGTCTGTTTTCGGGGCTGCTGTTTGGATGTGGCCTTCCACAAGCATACGCGACTATAGATATCTAAGAGCTCTGACTCAGTCAGCCTGTCTGAGCAACTACACCCAAGAGCCTAGGGAGAGGGTCAAAAACAAAAAGTGAATTTATCTTGCGGGGATGCCTGAAGGCAAAGCAAAAGGAGAGTTAACAAAGGCCTTTGGAGTCGGTTAGTTCTCCCTTTGTTCCTCCGCTGCTGCTGAAGAGAAAAGACTTGGAAATGAATCAGCAGGCCACCTGAAATTAATTCTAACAATATGGGTAAAAACAACTATTATTTGTCTGGAGCTTTACAGTCTACAGAGTGAGTGCCTGTATGTTCATTCTTTCTTTTGCTTCTTCCTACTGTTAATAGGCAGGGAAGAAGAGTGGGTGTTAGTGTCTCCCCGCTTCACAGACGAAGACACCGAGGCTTGGAAGGTTAAGCAGCAGCAGATGGGTGGGACCCCCCCACGCTCCCCGCACCAGCTCCTTCTGGAAACGTGAGAGGAGCCTCTGAGACGCGGTGGTGGATAGAAAGTCTCCTGTAAACTCACAGGTCCGCCGACAGCCCACGCGACATGAGGACATCCCCAAACACCCAGACTGCGCCACAGTGTTCCCTAACATGAGCGCTCAGTTTTCTTGGCTAGGAAGTTGGGAACAATCCCCAAGTGGAAAAAAAGTGACCGCTCCCTATTCACCTGTGGAAGAGAGAAAAGGTTGCAACGGTCTGCGCGGAACCAACCCCCAGCAGCCACCGGAACTTTTGGCCGGTCCCCGAGGCCCGCAGACCCGGGGGGCAGCGCTACCTTGTGAGGACATCTGCGACTCCGGGTCTGCGTATTCTTCCAGCAGCTTCACGGGGTCTGTGTCCTTCCCCGACTGCAGGGACACCGCGTCGACGCTGTCCTCCAGGGCCTCGCTGGGCACGTCGGGCTTTGGGAGGCTGGGGTCCAGGTCCAAACCACTCAGGCTGGCATAGAGCAGGTCTCGTGTGCTGGGACCCAGGTCCCGGGCGAAGGTGTCACTGCAGCTGAGTGCCTGGCTCTCAGAAAATGCAGGGAGGTGCACCTTTGATGGAAGGGCACCCTCGTTCCCCAGGCTGTACTGGTCCATGGCTCTGGGCTGCCAGGTTTCGGCCGAGCGCTGCTCTGCACGCGGGCACAGCCGTGCAAGGGTCCGGGGATGAGAGAGCTCTTGGTGGTCTCTAATTCCTGCAAGCGAGCGAGGGGGAGTCAAAATTATAAGATGGCAACACAACGTGGTGGACAGAAGGTGGACTTGGAATTCAAACAGACCTGTATTAGGGTGTGTTCTCTGACACTTAAGAGCCATGTGACCCTGGGGAAGTCACTTAAGCTCCGCGAGACCCAGTCTCCTCATCTGTAAATTGGGCCTAAGAGTCCTTCCATCATGAAGTGGTTGTAAGGAATAAAGGAAAGGATTTCCAGCCCCATGGTGGACTGAACTGACCTCTTTTCCAGCTATAAATACATAAAAATATGGTTAAAGATCATCTTTAATACATAGCCACATGCAAGAGACAGGCAAAGCCCCAAGTGCCGGCAGCAGTGAGAGAACCCAAAGCCAGAGCTGTGAGCGTGTCAGCCCCAGGGGAAAATCCGACTCCCGCGGGGCCGGGCTGCGGGCTGTGACGCGCCTGCGGAGACCGCACCGGACTGGGAAGATAAGGTACAGAAAGTACTAAGTTCTTATACTGATTACATGTCACAATGATAACTCTTTGTATCTAGTGGGTTAAATATAATGTTATTTAAATTCATTTCACTTGCCTCTTTTTTTTTATTTGTTGACTTTAGAGAGAGACAGGAAGGGGGGGAGAGGGGAGAGAAACACGGATTTGTAGCTCCACTTATCCATGCATTCACTGGATGATTCTTTTTTTTTTAATCCCCACCCAAGGATGTTTTTTTTACTGATTTTAAGAGAGAGGGGAAGGGAAAACGAGAGCGCGAAACAGCAATGTGAGAGAGAAACATCAATTGGTGGCCTCGAGTACAAGCCCTGACCAGGGATTGAACCCACAACTGAGGTAAGTACCCTGACTAGGGATCGAACCTGCAACCTTCTGGTGTACACACAGGATGACGCTCCAACCAACGAAGATACCTGGCCAGGGTTCATTCACCACTTTATTTTTCAATGGGACTATTAGAAGATTTAAAATTATATGTGGTTCACAGTATATTTCTATTAAAGAGCATTTCCCTGGAGGCTGGGACCTGGGGTCGTAAGAGACACACGGGAAAAGGAAATAACGCCTTGAGGTGACAGGAAGTGGAGGCCTAGGCCCCTGGAAGAGCCACGCCATCCACAGGAAAAGGAAATAAAGAGGAAATCTCTACACACAAACCAGAGAAACATCCCAAGAACTAGAAAAAAAAAATAGGACAATGGAAGACAACAAAACCAAGTGTAAGAAAAAAAAAGAAGTCAGTATGTGACAGAACAGACATTTTAATAAAGAAAATGGAACTTCTAGAACTAAAAGACATTCCTGTTAAAAACTCACCGGAGGGCCGCACCGCAGTGGGGGCAGCGCTGAAGGCAGCGGCGGGCGCCCCGAGGCACGGAATCCCGCGCCACGATCAGATGGAAGGGCGGCAGGTGCCAAAGCCTCACACATGCCTAACAGGGGTCCCCAAAGGAAAGCAAAGAAAATGTGGGAGCACAGTGTCGTAAAGAGAGCGGTGGCGGACTGTCCAGAACTGCCGAAGCGCAGGAGCCCAGACTGAAAGCCACGATTCTTGGGAGGTGTCCGGTCACTAACCAGCACGCACTGCCGGCCGGGGCAGAATGAAGAAGGGGCGTTCACTCCCCGGCGCAGGGCAGAGCTGCAGCGCACTGAAGGCGGGGAAATCCCCAAAACCGCCAGAGAAAAACAGGCAGGCGGCCGGCAGCGGGAGGACGACTCGGGTGAGGACCGGCTTCTCGGAGGAGCGAGGCCGGAAGGCGAGGAACAACGTCGTCGCCAGCAGGTGCGCAAAGGGCAAACTCAGCACTGGCCCCACCCAGGGAAACTGGCGACCAAGGTGGAGCAATGAAAGAAAAAAAGGGGGCCATACAGACTTTTTCAGACAAAGCCTCAAAGTCATAGACCTGGGCTCAACAACCACCACAGGCTTTGAATCACTCGGGGGAAAAAGGGAGAGAATGACTCACTTCATACTTGAAGGATGCACGCGGAAACAGTCTGAAATGCAGCTACCAAGAAAAAAAGGAGTGACCCATGGAACGTCTCAACTAGCAGAATTTGTCCCCAAAAAGCAGCGAGAAAGACTCAGATTACTAAAATTGGAAATTAAAGAGAAGACATCACTAAACGACCTTACAAAAATAAAAAGGATTATAAAGAGATATTATGAATAATTTCACGACAACAAATCAGGTATCTTAGATTAAAACAGACAAATTCCTACAAAGATTCAAATTACTAAAAGTGACTGAAGAGGAAAGAGATGATCTGAATAGACCTATATAAGAAGTAAAATGATTAAATTAATGATTTTATTTGCTGATTTTTAGAGAGAGGAAAGGAGAGAGGGGGGAGGGGAAGAGACAGAAATACTCATTTGTTGTTCCACTTATTCATGCATTCATTGGGTTGATTCATTTTTTTAAATTTATTTTTTATTGTATTTTTTTCTGGTTGATTCTTGTACATGCCCTGACCAGGGATGGAACCCGCAACCTTGGCATAGCAGGACAATGCTCTAACCAACTCAGCTACCCACCCAGGGCCTGAATTAATGATTTTAAAACTTCCCACCTATGCCATCAAAGAAACGTTATTACAACTCTGGAAAGTAGTCAAGGGTTTAGAGCAGCAACCAAGGGAACCCTTACATCCCCCAGCACAGCCATGTTTGGAAGGCAGTGCCCACATTCTCGTGGGCGTTCCTGCTGTGGGAACCGAGGACTGAGGCTCCTGAAGGTCTAACGCCTTGCCTTGCGTTTGCCTTGTCTTGCTTTGAGTTTGCCCAATTTTGGAACTCTCTCAGGGCAGAGAGTAGCAATAGGAGGGGGGAGGGCATTTGCTGAAAACATTAAAAACAATGAAACAGTTGCTACAGCTTGGGACAAAACATGGCGTCTGGGGCCAACAACTGACAAGCCACTGAAAGCCGGGGAGGAGAGGCTGGAGATGGAGATGCTTGGGGAATACAGGCAGCGAAAAGCTTCCACACTGGCAGTTTCTGACGAAGGCAAACACGGTCTTCCCATGCGAATCCAGCCATTGCACTCCTGGGTGTCCACCCCAACGGGGTAAAAACCTTTGTCCACACATAGCCTGTACACAAATGTTACAGCAGCTTAATTCATACTGCCAAAACTAGAAGCAACCGAGATGCCCCTCACTAGGAGAACAGATAAACAAACTGGTACATCCATACAGTGAAAGATTATTCAGCAATAAAAAGCAAGGAGATTGCAAACCACAAAAAGACACGGAGGAACCCCACATGCACACTGCCAAGTGAACGAAGCCGGTCTGAAAATGCTGTGCGCTGTGTGGCTCCAGCTGTACGACAGTCTGGCAAAGGCAAAACTAGAGAGACAACTAGGAGGATTGGCGATTGCCCATGTTCAAGGGGAGGGGGGATGAAGAGGTAAAAACGGAGGAATTTTTTTAAATAAAAAAAAATTCTTTATTGATTTTAGAAGGAGGAAGGTGGGGGAGAGGGAGAAACATCGATGTGAGAGCAAAACATCTACTGGTTGCCTCTCATATGCACCCAGACTGGGGATCAAACCCCCAACCCAGGTATGTGCCCTGACTTGGAATCGAACCTCCAACATTTTGGTGTGCGGGATGATGCTCCGACCAACTGAGCCACACTGGCTGGGGCCACGGAGGGAGTTTTAGGGGAACGAAGTTACTCTGTGAGGTTCTGCAATCATAGGTGCATTAGCCAAAACCCACAGAACTACACAACACAAAAAGCGAACCCTAATTTAAACTATGGACTTTAGTTAATTAAAAAAATAAATTAAATCAGAAAAACCTTCTACGTATTTCAGGGAACCTAGAAGGCCATGTGCCCAGAGCAGGCACAGGCTCAGGAAAGAGCTGGAAGCCCTCAGCCCTCACCCCTGGCCGACCTTCATTCCACGCGAGCAGAAGTGAAGGCGGAGGCTGCTCGGGGCCGCCGAGTGTCGAAAGCATGTCCCGACGCTCACACAGAGCCCAGCTGCAAAGGCCGGGGGGTTTCTGTATTGTTCTGGGCAGTTAAGGAAATACCTGTCAAACCACTGACCACACATGACAAAGAATACAGCCTTTATTTAAAAAGTCTAGAAAAGTCACTAAACAAACAATTACAACCCACAAGGAGTAGCAATGGCAAACCCTGGGGTGGGGGTAGGGAATCTTATCCCCAAAGTCACACATTATGACGTTCAAAATGTCCGGTTTTTCAACAAAATATTACAAGGCTTGTAAACCAAGTATGGCCCATTCAGAGAGCCATCCATCTCACACAAATAAAATCAAACAATATGCAGCCCTTTCTGTCTGGCTTCTTTCAATAAGCACAGCATTTTCAAGGCCGTCCACCTTTTTATGGCTCAGTGATATCCCGCTGTCTACTTCTACCACATTTCCTTCATCCGTTCAACGGCTGAGGGGCACCTGGGTCGTTTCCATTTTGGGGCTGTTATGAAGAATTCTGTCTGCACCTAGACATTTAATAAACGCGTGGTGACTCCCTGAGAGCAAACCTGGTGGATCCGAGGACAGCTGGAGTTTGGGCCCAGACTCCTAGGCTGTCAGTTTCTACTGTGCTTAAACTTTTCGTGCCGCGATGTAATGGAACCATGGAGCCCTCAGCGCCTGCGTTTCCCATGGAGCATCTCTCTGCGTGTTTGTGCACGCAGCCTGCCAAGGCCACTCGAACAAAGAGTGGAACGCAGGTCTGCAGCCCTGTACCCAACTCTGGAAGCTAAGTGAGCTTCAGAATTCAAACCCCAGGGGATTTAGGAAGGTACGTCAATGTGTGCGCCATAGTTTAAGTGACCCCTACAGGGTCTGGGGCAGCACCCGGTAACCAAACCGTTATTTCTGAAATGACACCTATGACTAGAGTAATGGAAAA